TACATACCTGGAGTCTCTCTTATTATTTACTGTCTGCATCTGCACATTAACCACATTACCCACAGGGTCAACCCTGGGACACAGAGCAGGGAGTACAATGTTAGACTTACCTGCGTTGTGTACTTACTTAAGTTTGAGTTCGATCTTCAGTTTGTCTGCTACTGTTCTTCTCATCGTTTAGATAAGAAAACAAGCACACTACCCAGCTCTGAATGTAACCCCTAGTAACCAAGAGGCTGAAGAGTCACTGATTCATTCTGGGTGCTAGTCAACCAACAGAAAATAACTTTGGCCATTTTACAAACTAACTGAAGCAGCTGTATAATAATTCCGGGGGGAAAATTAATGTAGCTACAGAGTGTCTCATCTTATCTATTTCATCAATTAATACTTTTCCTTTTGTACATGAAAACCACTGGCATTTCATTACCAACTTTCATTCCCACTAAAGCTTATAATTACATACAGCTTTATATAAGATTGTATCTATGGTAAAAGACTAAGTCCTATACATCGTGAAACTCTGAAGTCTACTATAAAGAACATTTTAGGAGCATCTCTAAGTTTTCTTAATTGGTAAAAAAAATAACAGATGTGGACGAAGATGAAACCTCCCTGTGACATTACTTACCAGCAGTCATCCCTGGATTGACTATTCCTTGGCACAATGCCGCAGGTCAATGAAATATTCTTATAAATGAGCAACATGTCCACAGTAAAATATTCACAGAAGTGAGCTATACTATTACATGAATGTATATATATCTATATCCTTATTATGTGTGATAAACAAAGTAAGCTATACTATTACATGAATGTATATGTATATCTATATCCTTATTATGTGCAATAAACATTTGGTTCTATTCCTGCAATATTTTCTAATTAGTAGGGAAGGTAAATGTCATTCCTTATTATTTAAGATGACAGCAGGACCATATCTGACTGCCTTCCACTAAGACACCCACTAGGTTATAGTGAAGAAGAAAAGAAGGGGCTTAAACCTATAGCATCGAAAAGAACAAAGGAGAGAATCATTGACAAAACAATAACTGCATTAACTCTAAAAACTATAGGTATTTTCTTTTCAATAAGGGGATGTGTTCTAAAAGAGATTCATTCTGTGCATAATTAAGGTCTATTCATGAAGTTTTTATTTGTCTTTTGATGTAGGGTCTCACTCTGTATGCCTGGTTGGTCTGGAACTTGCTAGTAAATCAGGATGGCTTAACTAATAGAGATCTATTTGCTCTGTCACATGAACACTGATATTAAAGGAATGAGCCACCAGGCTAGGCATTATTCATGAAATTAACTTGACTGTCATAATCTCAGGCAAAATATTTCAGGATTTATATCTAAAGAGAGTTACCCACAGCATCTGTGGCAGTCTTCAGAGGGAAAAAAAAAAGTAAAACATAGCTCAGGGACTTTATCCTGAGACCAGAGGAGGAGGTGAGGGAGAATCTTGTGTACTTATTTTAAGTTTTATACACTCTGCATGGACCATTGCAAACTTTACTTTTTTTTTAAGCAAAGCAAATTGATGCTTGCTACTTTCAAAAGGGATTAACAATAATTCACTTACATACTCACAGTCCATCCATGTGTTTCTATTGAGAGTGGTGGAGAAATACTGAACTAAATGATTCTTGCCATGAATGATCAAGGCTTCTAATGGAAACATGTTCGACTTTTAATCATACCTATTTCAAAAGGTATTTTTGTTTGATATTATTTTCAACAAATTTAATAAGCAGTGAATGACTATCTGCAACTCTTTAAAAGTCAAGTTTGTAAGTACACCAGCATTGGGCTTAGTATTTTTAGTGCCAAATAGGTTTGCCTTGTTTCGATGCAGTGCTGGGACTAGTACCTCTTACATGCTAAGCAAGCATTCTACTACCAAACCACAGTCCCAGTCCCTAATGTTTTATTTTAAAAATTATTTCCCATCATTTAAAAAATACTTTTCAAAAATTATGTAATTGCAAGTGTGTCTGTGGAAGCATAAATGCAGATGAGTGCCAATACATGCAGAAGCCAGATCATGAAGTTGGATTCCCTGAATCTGGAGACAAGGATGGTTGTGAACGGCCTATACTGATGCTGGGAACCAAACTAGGGTCTTCTACAAGACCAGCACTCTTAATGATGATCCATCTCCCCAGCCCCTTTAATATGTATTAATTAAATAAATTTGTGTGGGATAATATATATTCAAAACATTTGTATCAATAAGCATAAAGTAAATTTGACTCTCAGCAAGATAGCAGATGATTATGATTTAGATCATATTAAAATGAGTGAGAAGATGAGGAAGAGGTGGGAAGAGAGAAGCTAGGGATGAAGCTCAGATGGTAGATTGCTTAGTGAGCACCAGCCCCCGGGGTTCACACCAAGCATGGCGTGACCAGGGTATGATGGTGCATGACTGTAATCCAAGCCCTCGAAAGGTAGAGGTGGGGTGCATTAGGAGGATCAGAAGTTCAAGTCATCCTACTACATACAGAGTTTGATGCTAGCCTGAGCTACAAAGGACCCTGTCTCAAAAACGACATGAGGGAAGAGGAAAATGCTATAAATTATGAATATTTGATTCTGAAACATTTAAATACATTTTGTGTATCTGTATGACTTTAAAACCTACCATTTTTCAAACAAAACAATCCAACCACAATGCCAAGTCAAATCAAATAAATGGCAATTATTTTTTTGTTTTGGCTTCTTTAACCTTTCCCCCTGCAAATCTAGGGAACAGATACTCTATCTTCTCATATAATATTAAAAAATTTTAAAACTCTTAAAAACCAAAACTCATAGCCATTACATAATGCTAACTTCCTGGACAGAGCAACATGCTAATACTCATTTGTGTGGCCAAAGCCATTCCGTGTTTATAACTCATTTAACAACATGTGGTCCTGGGGATGGAGCTCAGTGCCTCCACTGCTGACCGTCATCCCTGGCCAGTTGAGGCTATTCCACTGCTGACCGTCGTCCCTGGCCAGCTGAGACTATTCCACTGCTGACCGTCATCCCTGGCCAGTTGAGGCTATTCCACTGCTGACCGTCGTCCCTGGCCAGCTGAGGCTATTTCCTAATCTGGAGTCTAGAGCAGAGTCTACCTCACAGTGCTGCTCTAGCACCAAATGAAGGAACACATTCAAATACCCAAGAAACACCAGCTCACAAAAAAGGTCAGTTCTAGGACTCCCGTGTCTTCAACATAGACCTCAGCTTGTATAAGTTAATAACTCAAAATTCATTCAGTAAGAACCAGGCACACTCCAAGCAGGAGATGATGGTCTGGATGTGCTTTCACCAGATGCTGAGATTTAATAGTTTGTAGTAACTTAAACTGGATGGCACCGGTGTACGAATTGTCAAATGGAACAGAACTTCATAACAGGGGACCCCGAAATTAAGGCACAATTATAGAGGACAGTTTGAGAGAAATGTTATTATAAATTAGTCAGAAGAATAAACTAGTCAAAAACTGGATTTTCATATGAAACAATTTGTAGCCTCAATTCATTATTCGTGACAAGAAGACGACGAGGAGGAGGAAGAGGAACAAAATCATGCTCTTGCATCATCTAAAGGACCAAACTGAAGGCAAAAACAAGAAGCTCAAAGCTGTTTAAGATAAAGTTTCAAACAGCTTCAACATATCTTAGACTTTAAATTTTTTTTTTATTACATGACTGAGAAACACTTCAGAAGAAAAATGAGAAGTAGCATGACTAAAAAGTAAAATAAACAACACACAATAAGAAGATGCTTGATCTCAGGAATCATGAAAATACCAACTTTAAAAAGAGAAACAGTTTTAGATAGACACAAACTTCTGAAGCCTGGCACTACAGGAGTGAGAGCACATGAACACAACTTCTGATCAGCATTAGTCAAGCATTAAGTAGCTACTTTAGAGACTCTACTACCAAACACACGTTCTCTATGATCTAATACTCTTGCCCCTTATACATGTTCAATACTTCAGAGCAGCAAAGTTGATGACAGCAAATAACCCTCCAATAATCAACGGTATGGGAAATGATCAGTGCCATGTGATAATCATGTGACAGAATACTACACATCTCGTAAGATATAAATGCACATGCATAGTGGACTTGAGTAAAAGTATGAAGAATGGTATCATACTATTTTATAGCCTATACAAAACACTACTTCCTATGTATACCCACAGATAATATACATGAGTTTAGAAATATACTAGACACCAAATCATAGACGGATGGTGGCTGATGACTTTGGTACCGACTTCCTTAGTGGGTTGATTTACTAAAAGTAACAAAAAATATAATTTGAGTGTTTTAAGTGGATATTTGTTATATTATTTTTGACACTTCCTGGGTTTGAAAAGACAAAATGGAGACTACTCAAGAGTCACCAATATCACTGTAGGGAACAGGACTAGGAAAAACACTCCCTGTCCTGACTTGACATGGAGCTCCTGAGACGTGAAGATCTCTATTCTACTCGTGACTTGGTGATACAGGCCACAAAATTCAACCACCCATGCTGTACTTTTCTACCAGCTCACTGCACATACTCCAAACCCTATAAAACCCCTACCCTTCACCCAATCCTCTACTGTTTAAGAGGCAGCTGCCATTCTGTGTGATATTTGTTATGTGGTATGGCTTTGTGGTATTCCTTGGCTCCCAACTGCCAAGATGCCCTTGCACTGGAAAAACCTTTACAATCATAATTTAATTCTCTTCTTATATATACTATGTATAATAAATATATATACTTTAGAAAATATATATATACTGTAGAAAACACGGTATGGGTTTAACTTCCTAAAAAGCAAAAGGAAAAAATTGTAGGGTCATATAAATATGATGACAAAATTTAAGAAATAAAAAAAAATGTATGACAGAAAGAAGGCAAGATGTTTTGACCTTCAACAGTGCAATTTCACTAAGCACTTGAAAACTAAGTAGTGTCTCGCCCAAGATAAACCAACTAACCTGTGTGGGTCCTTCTATGTCTCTGAAGCTCATCGCTCCGTGTGAATCTTTTGCCACAAAACATCCAGTTACATATGAAAGGCCTTTCTCCAGTGTGCCAGCGGAGATGTGCTCGGAGGTGAGAGGTCTTGCCATACACTTTCCCACACCCTTCAATGTGGCAAACATGCTGCTTCTTCTTTCCTGGTTCACTGCTGCCCCTAACAGAACAAAACCAACATCATTACACCCCAAACTCAGCTTCTATCTGTGCCAAAAACACAGGCCATCTATTTGATTAGAAAATGCTTTTCTGAGTGAGTATGTCTGAACACAAAGAAACACATGAGAATTTTTTTTCATTGAGGAAAAAAATCAAATATGGTCATGTATTATATAAAAACTTATATGGAAATGTGATAAGCTTTAGAATGTATGTATACTACATAGCTCAGACTGCTTGAACCAGCTATATAGTAGAGGTTATCCTTAAATTCACAATCTCCTTAGCCCAGCGTTCCTATTGTTGGAATTGTAGACATGCTATCCTTACCTAGGAAAGAAAACAAGCCTCTTGAAAATTCTCCTCTAATATCAAAAAAGATAGTTAACCTCAGTTAAAAATGTAGGGTACCAAGGTTCACTTCTAGCAGGTCAATGTGACAAGGAATTCCATGAACCCTCTCCCAGAAAAACTAATAAATTATAAATCTATCTCTCAATCCACTATTCAAGAATCTCTGGTCACAGTCCTCAAAAACAGTAACAGCAAAAATATTCACTCTGAAATTTAAAGTATGTAACAACGGAGTCTATGGAACTAAGACTAACTCTTTTCTTCTCTTCCACCTCCATGACAAAGGAGAGTTACAGAACAGTACAGCCACGAACAGGGAGGGCTCCCTCCTCTCCAGCTAGCTATCTTCCAGAGTAGGGCAGGGCACAGTGCTTCTCATTCTACTGCCTGTTGTAGGAGGAGCTAAGGTGGGAGGAGTAAGGAGAAGAAGAAGAAAAGAAAGAAGAGGAGCTAGAGAGACCAGAGATATAGGATGGAGAGCCACACAGGTATGGAGAGCAGTCGCGGGTAACAACTTTTATTTAGGTTAGCTAATTGGGAAACAACTCTCTTTGTATGGGCATATTGTTATTGAGCTTTACCAAACATATAAAGCCTTTGATTAATCTTTAAGCATTAGACTTGAGAGTCATCTTTCTACTGGGCCGGCATGGATGGCGGGATGGTCTGGTCAATGCCCAGCCTTGCGGAGACAGCAAGGCATCTCGTGGGTGGCAGGGCTGGTGTTTCTGGCTGGTCGTTTCTAGCGGCACGGAACATGGTGGCTGAGCTAGGCAGAGCCACTGCAGCTTAGATAGTTGGCTTGACCTGAGGTGTTTTTAAATAATAACTGCAACAAAGTGGCACACCAATTTCAGCACAAATTCACTAGAAATTTAAGCCTATTCACCTGAGAGTAAAAGTTGTTACCCGCGACTGCTCTCCATCCTCCTACATCTCTGCTCTTTCTAGCTCCTCCTTTTCCTCTTCCTCTCCTTACTCCTCCCACTTTAGCTCCTCCTACTGCCTGTTGCTGAGGCTGAGTTCCAGTTGAGTGTGGGTAAAAGGCCACTCACTGAGCTCTGCAGGAATTGTGGCATGATGAAAATGATATGGCCCAGGTGTTTCCTGACCTTCATGAACAGTTCATAAATTAGAGTTACCAAGCTGGAAGAGGAGGCAAGGTTAAGAAAATGTGAGCCTATTGTCCCTGTCTCCAGGCACTCAGCTGTTATATCAGGGCATCACTGTGCCCCACTTCCTACTTAAGAGCCCCAAATCTAGTCAGAATGAACTCCAATCTCCTCAAAGAAACTGACAATCTGCAAGAAAGCTGAAGTTTAACCAAAGGGCTTGTTTTAAAAAGGAAACAACTGTTGCAAAGGCACCTGAGGGAAAGATACAGTGTCACTCCAGATAAGGCAAAACCACAAGTTGGTGAATCTGTGGAAAGAAGCAAGGGTAGATAGGAAGAGTGAGCTTTGAGATGAGAAAAATTTCAAACATATGCTCCCAGAAGTCAACAAAATGATAAAGCTTCAGCTAAACTAACCAAGACAAAAAGACTCAATTTACCTCCCTCACAAATAAAAATCATTATCAATCTCATGAAAATAAAAAGGCTCTTAAAGGAGCATTAAGCGTTACCAAACACTAAGGTAGACACATTCCTAAACAGAAAATTCGAAAAACTGGTAAAACAAACAAATACAAATGGTCAATCAAAATAAATCTATAACAAAAAGAATTAGTCAGAAAAAAAATACAAATCCTAGAGTCAGATAGCTTTACTGGTGAAATCCCTTTCCTCCATATATAATTTTTTGCTTGTTTTGAGATAACAACTCACTATACAGCCCTGACTGTCCTGGAACTCACTAAGTAGACCACATTGGCCTACTAATTCCCAGTGCTTGGGATAAAGGTTTGTACTACTATAACCACCTCCGGCTTGGTGTGTGTGTGTGTGTGTGTGTGTGTGTGTGTGTGTGTGTGTGTGTGTGTAAGAACTTTTCAAGCTTTTCAAAGACTCATTCAAAAAAAAGAAAATTGCAGGGAACACTTCCCAATTTACTTTGAGGCCAATATACAAGAAGAGTAGAGACTAGCACCTCATGAACACAGATGAAGAGAATCCTGGCCATTAGCAAACTAAGCAGTGTGTGTGGCACATGCTCATGGTGCCAGCATTCTCCCGAGGCAGCGACATATAAGACAAGAGAAGCTGGCAGAGAAAGGGAGGCGAGAGGGGAGAAAGGATGCAGCACACAAAATCCCAGTCACCTATAAAGAGAATTATACACCATAACTAGGAGGGTTTTACCATACCTATGTAAAAATCCTTGACTTGTAACAACTATACAGACTTTCTTAAAGCTCACAATTATTATAATAAATGCAATGAAGTGTTAGGCATAAAAACCCTTTATGATTAAAATGAGAAAAAAAAAAGGAGACGATAGAAGAGAGCTTCCTCAACTTGATCCAGGGTTCTAGAACTAAAGTTATATTAAAACAGTGAGAAACTAGATCTGTTCCCCTAACCTGGAGAAAAAAAAAACACACACCAGAAATTCTTTAACATGGAATAAGAAATAAAACCAAAATATTGGATACTATAAATGTATCTTTATAATAATAAGATAATATAACTGTATCTCTATAATACTATACGTATAATACTATGATACAGAAATCTTCTTTAATTAATTTTTTTCATGCAGTATATTTTGACCATGCTTTCCTCTGACACCCCCCCAGAAATTCTCCATCTCCCTATCCAAGCAACTTTATGTTGTTTCTTTATCAAAAGTAAATATAACAGAAACTAAAGCCAAAACAACCAGGCAAAAGACCAACAAGGCAAATTGTCACGAGGCAAAATGAAATAAAAAGCTCCCCTCCCACACGACATAGAGAGGTTTTTGTTGTTGTTTGGTTGTTTTTTGTTTTTTTTGGGTTTTTTATTTTTTTGTTTTTTGTTTTGCCAACTATTCCTGGGGATGGAGACTTCCCTGGGGTATGGTTGATAGACCCAGTGACATTTTTATTAGAGAAAACTTGATTTTTTTTTTTATTGCTAACGGGTATCAACTGCAAATAGCTTCTTGGTTAGGGACTGGACCCTATGGCCCAATCCTCCTCTCATTACTGGGACCCATCTAACTTGAACCTGTGCAAGCCTTGAAGTTTGATGAAGACATCCCATTTAGGACTGAGTGTTCTCAGTCTGCACAATGTCCAGTTATAGATCTCTGTTCAGTCCTATCTACTGCAAGGAGTTTCTCTGATGAGGACTGAGTGAGGAACTAGCCTACGGGTATAGCAGTATGTCAGGATTCATTTCATTCCTATGTTTCTTTAGCAGAGGAAGTAGGTTTTCCTCTAGGTCCAAGACCTAGCTAGTTGTAGGTTCTTGGCTATTTTATCAGCTTCAGTTATAGGTTTTATCTCATGAAGAAGGCCTTGAATCCAAACTTAAAAGGTGGTTAATTGCTCCCATAACATTTGTGCCACTATTGTATCAGAATGTCTTGCAAGCAGGTTGCAGGGCTTGTAGCTGGGTTACTTTCTCTTGCACCATGAAGAGTATCTTCCAGAACCATGGATGCTGATCAGTAGGAGTGAAGCTTCTTATTAGGTACCAGTCTGACTTTTATGTACTTTATAACATAAGTATTCTCTTCAGAAATTGCACCTTAGAATTAAGATGTGGAGACCCTTGGCAATAGCCTGTAATGTTTGCCAGGTTCAATGGGACCCCATTGGTTAAAGGTTCAACAAGATGTGAGTATGTGAGCGCTGGTATATACCTATTCTGGTACCAAAGGTTTACTTAGTGGCATAAGTTGTCTACTTGAGGTACTGTCTTTTCTGTTATTTAGTGACTCCATTTAAGTTCCTTTCATACATGTATATACTTAGGAAGTTTCTACAGTAGCAGGTTTCCTTGTGCTTTTCCAAATGGCCTTTATTATCAGTTCTAGCTCTCCATTTTCCCTCCTTCACTCTTCTCTCCTATCTCTTTCCCTATTTAAGCCTACATTAGTTGCTCCTTTAACTCTCATAGCTTGATTTTCATCTCTCAATCCTTTGAAGATCCTTTCTGGATCAATCCCAGTCTCTTATTAGGTACCTAACCTCCCTGGTTATTCAGATGGTAGCAAGTATTTTGAAAGCTTAAAAGCTAACATACACATATAAGGAAGAACATGTGATATTAGTCTTCGGGATCTGTGTTACCTTACTCAGCGTGGTTTTGTTGTTGTTTTGCTTTGTTTTATTACTGCTCCATCCGTTTACCTGCAAATTTTGTTTTTCTTAACAGTTCAACAATATTCCATTGTATAAATATACCACGTTTTCATTATTTATTCATTAGTTGATGGACATTTGGCTGCTTCCAACTTCTGGCTATTACAAATCAAGCAGCAATACGCGTGCATGAGCAAGTGTCTCTACAGTATGGTGTAGAGTCTTTTGGGTATGCATGTGCTCAAGAGGTGGCACAGCTGGATCTTGAAGTGGATCAATTCACAGCTTCCTGAGGAATCTCCACACTGTTTTCCATAATAGCTGTATACGTTTTCACTCCCACCAGCAACGAACAGATGTTCTGATTTCCCTGCATCCTCACCAGTGTAAACTGTGCCATTTATCTTGGTCAAGATAAGGTGAAATCTTAGGGTGGTTCTCATTATCTTGATGGCTAAAGCATTCTAAAAAGTGTTTCTTAGCCATTTGAGCTTCAGATCTTGTAAAAATTCTCTTCGAGGCTTTTTAACCCACTTTTTAATTGGGTTATTTCTTGATGTTCTGGTTTTTGTTTGTTTTTACTTCTTTATATTTTCTAGATATTAAACCTTTACTGGATGTGTCATTGGTAAATTGTCCAAATGACGGGTGTCCTTTGCAACACAGGTTTGCAGTTTCATGAGGCCCCATTTATTTCTTCAATTATTTTATTTGTGTTTCGTCTATACATATATCTAAATACCTCCTACAAGACTGTGAAGTCCAGAAGAGGGTGCTGGATCCTCTAGAACTAGAATTACAGACAGCTGTAAACTGCCATGTGGGTGCTGAGTGAGAATCAAGCCCAAGTCCTCTGGAAGAATAGCCATCTTTCCAACCCAGAGGTCCCACTTATTAACTGTTGGTCTTAGTGCCTGTGCTACCTGTATTCTGTTGAGAAAGCTTTTTCCTGTGCCATTGAGTTAAAGGCTATTTTCTTCTTTCTCTTCTATCAGATTCATATATAAGGCCTTATGTTGAGGTTCCTGATCCATTTGGAGTTGAATTTTGTGTAGCATGATGAGTAAGGACCTGTTTTCTTTCTTCTACATGCAACCATTCAATTTGACCAACACCATCTGTTGAAGATGCAGTCTTTTTTCCGAATGTATATTTTCAGTTTATAGAAATCTTATTTTTATGAGTCCTTTGCCTGCACAAATGTCTGCGTACTACATGTGTGCAAGTGCCTACAGAGGCCAGAAGAGGGCATTTGATTCCTGGCAATGGTGTTACAGACAAGTGTAAACCACCACGTAGGTGCTGGGACTTGAACCAGTATCCTCTGCCAACCAGTGCTCATAACTGCCAAGGCATCTCTCCAGCCCAGTAGATGTAAAAATCTTAAGTAATCATGAAAATCTCAAGAAAGAATAATCCAGCAATATTCGCCAATGTAATCCTGTACACTTGAAATTGGGAAAGGGGGAAGCTTCATTTATAATAACATCAAGAAGATTTAACAGGAATACATTTAACAAATACTAAACTCACACTCTTTTTAAAAAAACACAAAATACTAATGAAACAAAACATCAAAAATCTAAACAGAAAAAATGTTCCTTTTATATAGGACTAAGGACTCAATATTATTAAATAGTCACTATCCCTCAACCTGACCTGCAGTTTCACTTCAATTTCCATCAGGATACCATCTTGCTTCTCTGTAGAAACTGACAAACTGATGCTAAAATCACCCAGAATCCCCAGGATTGCTAAACACTTAAAGCAATTTTGAGAAATGGGAGCCAAGAATATTCAATAGGGAAAAAAAACTTCAGTAAACAATGCTGGGTGCCCACTTCCTTCATACCACATGTAAAAAAGAAACCATGTATCACCCTATCTGAATTTCGGAATAAAATCTATAAAACTCAAAAACAAAACAACTATGAACATTCATTAGATTTGGCAATGGAGTCTTCAATATGACATCAAAAGCAAAAGCAACCAAGGAGAAGAAAGAAACAAACAAAAAATTATACTTCAAAAGATTTTGTGCTTTGAAAGACATAATCTCAATCTTGACAGTATATGACCATCCTACACACTAGGCAACAGTATTTCCAAATCATGTACTGGTGAGATCTTATACCCCAAATATATGAAGAACTACTATTCAACGATGAGATTAAACAGAAAAATTATCTAAATACACATTTCTCCAAAGATACATAATTAAAACCACACTGTGACAGCACTTTCAGACTTATTATTAACTGACTTAAAAACCGTAAGCAATCAGGTAACGACAAGAACTTGCAATCTATGGAGAAACTGGAACCTTCTTCATACAGTGCTGATGGGAACACAGAATAGTGCAACCACTTTTAAAAAAATAGTATTGCAGTTCCTTAAACGGTTAGTCACTAGACAACCTGATAACTCACACATGCACACTCGCACTCACAAAGAGAGAAAGAGAAATAAAAACCGAATGTCTGCATAAACACTTATTATATACATGCAAACAGTGGCATTACTCATAATGCTCAATAAGGATAGAGTTCAGCTGTGTATCCACAGTGACAGGATAAACAAGTACTTGTTCCCTTTCTCTCTCTCTCTCTCTCTCTCTCTCTCTCTCTCTCTCTCTCTCTCT